CACGGTTTTCCCACTTAAGGTGCCCCCATTTTCCCCCTTTCTCCCTTACTAATACCCTTCTCCTATGGTCCTACCTCTCTTGAGCTCCTTCTTTCCCTTTATCCCTTAGGTTCCTTGCATACCCTTCCCTCCCCCCCTCCCTTAAACTAACAGAATTTTTATCCATATCTCCCTTATTAAGGCCTGTTTCCTACTGTTCTTCTCTTTCAGGTTATTTCTTTTCCCTTACCTCCTTGTTTTCTTTCCATTATCCTTGTTCCCCAGGTGATTCTTAACCTGACACAGCTTAGTTAAAACCAACCGGCACAGAATCCTTATGCAATCGCCCTCACATTTGGATTTTTTTATATTAGAGTATTAAAAGGCTGACTCTCATGGACGTTTCTCATTCCTTAGTCTGTGAGACTCAACTTTAGTAGAACATCACTTTAATAGTCTGTGACTTGCCACTAATTCAGATGAACTTTAAGCTGGTGAAGAAGGGGGACTATATTGGGAAGAGAAAGGAGACTAAGTGGAATTGAGAGGGGAAGAACGGTGGGTAACCAGGGAAAGGCTGAATAAGAACAAAATACATTATATATGTATGAAAATGTCATGAGATCTATTATATATGATTACTGTATTCTAATGCAAATGCACAGCCAGCCTTTCTAGAAAGATCTCATTTGACAATGATCTTTTTAGGTTTCTTAGACCATGTCAGATGGGGGAAGCCTGCCTCCTGGGAATACTTTATTCAGCCCTTGTAGAGAAGAGAAGCACAGATGAAGCCCTTCATAAGTTGGTTGGGCAGAAGGCAAGATATGGGTCACTACAGTAGAGTTTGGGAGGTCCAGAGAGCTTAGATCTGTACTGGAGGAAGGCTAGGAAGAAGAGTTTGGCATGCACTCCCCAGCAAAGTCCTCTCTCTATGGTTCTCTATTTTTCAATTTCTATTTTAAACCCATGAAGAAGGTGATAAACTGAGCATCGCATCTTTTTGGCATATGCTCTGCAGGTGGTTCTATGCTTATTGAATTTTCTCAGTAATTGGGGCCTGCGAATTTACACCTAGCTATACATGGTATCAGGAAGGCTCTGGTATAGCAGTTGGCATTGTGGTGGAAAAAGTTGGGGATGAAGTAAGCATTAGTGTAGAGGGGTAGGAAGACCACAGTAGGTACATTTTCAAAGTCCAGAATGGAAAGTAGGCAGCACCAGGGCTCTCCCAGCAGACCCAGGGTGTTTAGTAAGCACACGGCAAAGGTACAGACCAGAGCACGGTTATATCATGCCGGAAAGGCAGTATTTCAGTCCTTAAACCACAACGCAAAGTCAAAGACCAGGTTGCATTAGGAGGTGGAGTTCCAGTGGTCAGAGGATAGCGCTGAATTTGGAATGCTTCCACTGTGGAGTGGCAGCTCCTTTGATCTCAGTCACCACAGATCAAGGTTGGGTTAGATACAGAACTGAGACACGTCTTTGAAGAGGTCCTGGGTGAGGGCTGGAGGTGAAATCAGGGCACTTTGTTTTTGATGGAGATTCTGATTGACAGATCCCATCAGGGAAGACAAAGAGAGGTGGACCTCATTTCTATGGAAGCCGCAGCTGCAAGCGCCCCCTGCTGTTCACACTAGAGACAGGCCTTACAGATGACTCAAACAGAGGTCCTTTTACCTGTGAGATTCCAGGGGCACCAGAAAGTCTCCTGCTTCCTCTAAATTATCTTCCACTTATTTGTTTAGGCTTCAAGCTCACTTAAAAAGAGGAAGAGTTCATGCTACAAAGAAAATGAGATTATTAATCAAACATCTGAAGAAAGCAATGTAAAAGTTGTAAATTCAGAGCAGTAGGGTTGTTCTAAAGGCCAACGACATGGAAGAGGAAAGAAGATAGTCGATCCATTTTAGGGTGGAGGAGAGCATCAAGGAGAAGGCAAAGAATGCAGAACAGCTCAGCGTGGAGAGCAGCTTTTTGGCCATGCCACATTTAGGCAATTATGCCTCTGAATCTCATTTTCTCATGTATAAATTGGGGTAATAATAGCATATTCCTCTTGGAAAAGTTTCATGAATAAATGAAAACATTCCCCTAGAATGCTATGTGGCTCAAATTAAGTTGTCAAGACATGTCAACTGTTATTCTTTGTGCTAACAAGTGTTCTGACCATGTTGCTCAGGCTGCCCATTTCTCACAGATGTCCTGCTCCCTGGTCTGGAGAGGTCAGTTTTAGAAGGAAATACAGACCTGGCTGGAATGCACTGACATCTGGCTTCCACAGAAGACTTCCTCTTCCAGCTAGAAGTAACTCCTAAATTGAAGAAAAAACTGAAGATAATATTTGATGACCAGTCTTTAAAAAGGTTGACTGCTCACTCACCTATACATCATCTGAAAGAGGCTGGCTTCTTGTCAATCTTAGCAAGATTGACAGTCTTGCTACAGGCAAGCCCAGCTCTGTCAGGGCCCTGTGGGACTGTCGATTTTCATTCCCAAGGCTGCTCTGTGCCTCTGGAACCCAGACATCCTCCTCATGAATCCTGGGTGCTTTGTGGGACTCAGATCAGATTCAGGGTCAGGGGTAGGGTTGGGGGTAGGAATGGAAAAGATTCTGTATCTATTTTGGAGACAATTTATTCACCGTAGGCTTCCTGGAGACAAGGAACCGAAGACAGGGGAGCTACTCAATGTGCTTAGTGTTTTAATTCTTGGCTAAAATAACTTAGCTTCTAGAATCTTAATTTTGTCATTTGTGAAATAAATGTAATAGTCTTGTAGGTATTACTATTTATGTGTTTGTATGTGTGTGTGTGTGTGTGTGTGTGTGTGTGTGTGTGTGTGTGTGAAACTGTAGCTTTAAAAAAAACTACATAAAGAAAATTTTGGGTGTTATTTTAGAAATAAAAATAAAATAAATTTTCTTTTCTCACCTTGCTCATGCCTCATTCGTGATGTCATTCAAGATGGGCTTTTCTGTTGGTACCACAGTGTTCTTCGGCATTGGCTGTGATATCATCTCAGCTCATAGGCCTGGGAAGATTGGTAGTCCTCCCATCTACTCTTGAAGTGGAAACTTGGAAAGGTTTGGAGAATGACAGCCCTGAACTGTCTCTCAGAATCACGTATTCATTAGTACTGGGGATGGCCATGTGGGTGGGGCAGAAAGTTTGTCAAAGCGGAAGGAAGCCATTTGGTCATTTTTTTTTTTCATAAAACAAATAAAAATGCATCAGCTGGGCTTGGTGGCTCATGCCTTTAATCCCAGCATTTGGGAGGCAGAGGCAGGAAAATCTTTGTGAGTTCGAGGTCAGCCTGGTCTACATAGTGAGTTCCAGGACAGCTGGGGCTACAGGGCGACCCTGTCTCAAAAACACCAAAAACCAAATGGATAACTACAATAAAAAATTTTAGTTTTTTGCTAGAAATAAAAAGTGGTTTAAAACCAAATAGTATTTATTCAAGGAATGAAGCTAAATGATTCCATCCTCATATTTTTAAAATGCTCTTTGGAGGAGGTGGAGAGATGGCTCAGCAGGTGTGGGTACTTGCCGAAAAGCCCAGAACTCAGGCAGTAGAAGGAAACAGTGGACTCCAGCAAGCAGTTCTCTGATCTCCACACATAAGAGCCTGTGTCTGCATTACACACACACACACACACACACACACACACACACACACACACAATAAATAAATAAATAAATAAATAAACAAACATTATAAACATTCTTTGGAGAAGCATGAATTTAACTTCTACCTTCATAAGGTTTCCTGAGCATTAACTTATTGATCCACATCTCTTTCCTGACTCTGGCTGCTATGGCAACAACTTCTCTCAGAAGTCAGCTTTTGGGAGAGGCTGCAAAAAGGTTGCAGCTTATCAGTTATTGTGAGGGAAATTAACAAAAAGATGAGGCATCAGAAATGCATGGATGTAGGTTGTGGCTTATGGCACATGGTGAACGGCAGGATCTCGTTGATGATTAAGGCTTGTGTGTGTATGTGTGTATGTTTGTATGTGTATATGCATATGTGCACATGTGTATCTATGTATGTTTGTACATGCATATATGTGTGTTCATGTGTATATGCATGTGTGTTTGTGTGTGCATATCTGTGTGCCTATGTATTGTGTACATATATGTGCATATGTACGTGCATGTACGTATTTGTGTGCATATGTCTGTATTTGTACATGTCTATGGGTATGTGTGTGTATGTGTGTGTGCCTATGTGTATGCGTGTACATATATGTGTATATGCTTTTTGCATTCCTCCATGGTTTGATTTATGCATGTGGAGTTTTCTGTGTTCACCTAATGTTTCTTGCAGCTGATATCACAAATAAGAAGTTCATGTTATGTTCAAACTAACCAGCAATATCCATCTAGTAACAGCAGATTCTGAGTATGAAAAGAAGCATTATAGCAGATCTGCCCCTCCATCACGGTAAAGCCATAAACAGCAGCACAGTTTATGCACATGGAAAGCTTTTGAAAACTAGTGAAGCCCCCTTTGTCTTCCTAGAGATTCTGATTCAGTTAGACTCTGTCAGGTGCTGGGGGTGGGCAGAACGCCAAACAAAACAAAGCGAAAGAAAAAAAAGCAAAAGAAAACAACACCTAGATGATAGAAAAAAGAAAGAGGAAAAAATAATGCTTAGTAACTTTAATTCAAAGAAATATTGATTTCTTGGTATGTGCCCCTAATCTTGAAGGGCACAGGTAGAGAAAAAAGAAATCTCTCTTATTAGTCTTTTTCTTGTGACCAAATGTATATCCTTGGGGAAAAAAAATAACCAAAATGATATTAAAGGAAAACCTGAGCCTATGCTGTTGCCACACAGAACTTGTTGCAATGACTGTATCAGGTACCAGAGAACATAAGAAACTGATGTGACCAAGAGCTGCTAGGAACAGTGGAACCAGAGAGGGTGGACGCAGGGCTGAGCCTAATGGAACGGATTTGAACACGTGTGCAGGTGCTTATTTTAGGCAGAGAGGAGAGCATGAGCTCCTCAGAATGGAAAGCAAGAATGAAGCAAACACTCTTGGGTAAGAACAGAACAGCTTGGTCCAACTGAAGAGCCACACTTGTCACAGAGAGCGTGTCAGATTGTGGAAGACATAGATTCCTTGAGGGGTGAGGGTGTTTGTGTTAGGTAGCTAGACAGGATTGGGAGGCTTGGAGGTCATTGAGGATTGATCTATCTCAGGGTCAGCTTTGGATCCATCTCTTGTTTCTCTAGTAACCCTAGAAAGGAAAGTATCACAACTGCCCCTCTTTAGACCTCCTGGTCTAGCAAAAGGAATCGACTTCTAGTCCTGGGTGGAGACAGGGCATTTTGACCTGCTCCAAAGATTAGAACATTACATACTATTGTCTATTCCCTTAAAAGTTAATCCAGCTGAGCCTGTCAGTCACCTGGCCAGGAGACCACTCTAAAGAAAGCTGATTTACCTGAGGCTGTGCTAAGGAGATGGGAGGAATAATTATCCCAGTAATGAAATAATGTGCTTATCCTTTCCAGAAGCCCTCCTCCCCGACCTAATGCAGACACTTAAAGAGTATCACCCATGCAGCCTGCCCACTTTTCTTTCTAACTGTATTAGTTACTTTTTTTTTTGCTGTGATAAAACACTATGACCAAGGGAACTTATAAAAGGAAGTTTTATTTGAGCTTACTGTCCCAGGGGAATCAGAGTCCATCATGGCAGGGAGGCATGGGGGCAAGAGGTGGCCAGAGAGAGCATGAAGAGGAGCGCTCACGTCTTCCAGCAGGCACAGGAAACAAGAGAGCGACTGGAGATCCAGCAAGGCTTAAGAACTCTGTAAGCCCACCCCCAGTGACGTGCTTCCTCCAGCATGGACACACCACCTAAAACTTCCCAAAACAGCACCACCAAATACATGGAGCCTATGGGGGACATTTTCATTCAAACCAGCACACAGAGAGAAGTGCACGCTTTCTTTTCTCTTCTATTTCTTTTTCTTTCAAGACACTGATCAAAAGTCTCAGCATGCTTTCCTGACACTCTGGGCGTCACACTCAGCTTCTTGCCCACCTTCATTGATGCACATGCCGGCTTTCACAGCTTTCACATGCCCTGACTCCAAGGCTTTCTCTCTTTCCCTCCTTCCAGTAGCTCCTGGGAATTTGGGCTTGCTTGCCCTGTTGTTTTTCTCTCTAATAAAACTGTCCTCACAGTTCCCTCTACATTCTTTTCATAAATAAGACTAAGAACCCATGAAAGGGAGCCACAGATTTGCCTAGTAACATCTGGGCTTGGTCTTATGAGACATAGGAAAGACAGCAATAAGCATAGGACAACTTTCTGTTTTGGAGAAAAATGGTTGATCACGTAAAAGCAGAGAAATGGGGAGGGGACAACAGGGTGGACTGGAGGGAGCATTTGTTAGGAGGGTGCTGCCCAGGCCTGTGGATGAGTATTCTGCTCTAACCCTAGCATACAGGCATGAATTTTAGGCAGAAGTATCTTATCCCAGCTTGAAGTATCAATCCAGCTTGAAGATCAACTTTCCTCCCTGGAGGAACTTTTCCCAACAGGAAATTGCCATATTTGGGTATAGCTCAGTGGCAGAATAGATGTGGTCCCTTTTTGATCCTTTAAAAACAAGTCCATTTTTTATCTACTTATTGCTCAGTTGATAGCTTGTGATAGCCAACTTCTGTACATTTTATTCATTCCATTAAGAGGCATGGTTGAAGGTTTGCAAACACAAATACAAGGGATGGTTTTCAGTCAGTGTTTGATTTCCGCAACATAGCTCTTTAGGGGCAACAATCCACCCTGAAAGTGTGGAATTGGTTTCTACAGAGTTAGTGGAACATCAGACCAATGAACAGCACCACTGAAAGGTGTGATCAGAGTTTAGCTCACACTTTGTCCGCTTTCCACAACTTCCTCTGGGAAGGGCCTGCTGGGATTTATGAGCTCTCCATGAAGGATATGATGATTGGGAAAAAGAACAGATTATAACTGATTGACACATGACTGATACTGAAACCAATTAACCAGGAGATGATAAGGTTTATAGAGAATAGCAGGTCCCTACTCTAAGATACAAAGAAATATCCTAATATGCCTAAGTGGTATGAAAAGTGAAGAGCTAGACCAAACATATGAGCTTCTATGCCTGGGGACTTGTGGGAGGGTAGGTATGGGATTAAGCAATGTGGACCGATGAAAAGAAGCCAAGATTTGGAGCTAGACAGATATTTCATGTCTCTAATGGGTGACTTGGGCAAGTTATTGTCTATTGACATCTACTGCTTTGTTCTCCCATAGCAAGGTAATATAAAAAAAAAAAAACCCTGTGGTGTTGTGGAATGTGAAGAAGGTGGGAGCCATGAAGTACCCATGCCTCTGTGCAACACGTGGTAGAAGTTTCAGAGATGTTAATACCTTTCCTCTTCTCTGTATGGGGATGAGGATGTGTGAACTCTGCTCCCAGCTGGCCTGGAACTTGCTATGCAGACCAGGCTGGCCTCGATCTCACAGAGATCTGCCAGCTTCTGCCTCTTAAGTGCTGGGATTAAAGGTGTGTGCCACACAGCCTCTCTCTCTAAGTCTGTATTTTTTCCCTTTTTTCAGTGCTAGATATCTAACCCTGGGCCATTCACACTCATTCTACCACTGAACCACATCCCAGTTCAGGTAGAGGAGGTAGAGGGTACTGTAGAAGGGGAATCATTGACTTCTACAGAAGGAATTTTATTAGACTTGAGAGTAAAAGCTAATGTGGGTG